GAAGATGGACGTCCCACGCGGTGTCCCTTTTCTAGGTCCGGTCCTCAGCGTGCCATGCTCTCAGCGTGCGGTGCGCCGGCCGCTCCGAACATCCACATGTGCTTGCGTCTCGCCGTCGCTCCCAGCCCCGTTCGTTGGCTGCATCAGGGATGCCGCCATCCAGAGACGGGCATAAGGACGTTGCATCCAACAAAACCTTCAGAGGCACCCGCTGGGCCAACGACGACCGTCACTGCGGGATGTGTGGCCCTTCCGCCGCTCACCTCGAATCGCACTTCTACGCCTCCTCGAGCAGCAGCAGCAGCATAAATACACCGGTCCACTAGAGGCCGTCACCAGCCATTGCAGGAAGACCACTGTGCCCCAGTGCCATGAAACCCGAATTGCATTGACGGGCCACTTCGGAAAATCCTGTCGCATCCTCCCCCAATTATGCGGAAACACATCCGTCGTGCATGTGTCCACCGCAGCCAAATGAATCTGGTCCAAATACCCTCCAAATCAAATTCTTCTTTCCTCAAGCCATTCCTTCATTCCATACGCCCTGACCCTCATCCGCACGTGCTCACTCACACAAACCGCCATAGACAGATGGTGGCCGCCCAACGCCCCAGAAAAACAACCCCAGCACGCACGCGCATAACAAATGACATGCGCAAACGCACGGCACGACGGTGGAGAAGCGCACACCGAAAGGATGCGGCCCTCCACAGCAGTCGCAGCCCACCGCGCGCATCACACCCGCAGGAAGAGTGACTCGCGGTGCGCGCTCCCTCTCTCCTCCTTCCCTTCATGCCCACGGAGGAAGCAGCAGCCACCCGCAACCGCCAGCACACGCTACAAAAGAAGCATCCAAATCCACTGCAATTTGCATTTTGTGCGTGCATGTGGTTGTGTGTGTGCATGCAGACACACGAGGCAAAGAAGTAAAAACAGGAGCAGAGCATGTGAGGGGGACGCACAAACAAAAACGTACAGCAGAGGTGCATGGCAGAAATAAAAAAACTGCTCAGGCTCACAATATTGCACTGCAGACAAAGCAGCGGCAATTCATTAAAAAATTAAATAAAAATAAATAATAATAAAAATTCATCTTCACCTTTCCACACCTCACACTTTGGAAAGAAAAAGAAAATGAAAATGAAAAAACAAGAAAAGAAGAAAAGAAAAAGAAAAAGAAAAAACACACACAAAAAAAGCACCTAACTACCATGTTGCTCCAGAAATTGTCTGTATACATTTTGTCCGGAAATAAAATTGAAAAGATAATTACGTGTCTTTCAACCGTCTGACCCTCCATGTGTCCGCACATCGTTTATATTTCATGGGGCCATCTGCGTGTTGCTGCTCCCCTCAGCCCTCTCATCGGCGCGTGAGTGCGGCCCGCAGAGCACAGTCACTCGTGTGTGTGGGGACTGAGAGAAGCACGCAGACATGACGGGAGTCGCGTCACTCCATCGGGAGAGTGAGCGCAGCAAAAAAAAAAAAATCATCAGAGGGGAAGGAAATGCTCACGAGGCCGACTCCGAAGGCTGCGCCAGCGCAAAAAAACACACACAGTGAGAAAATCAAAGAGAGCAAGCAAAAAAAAAAAAAAAACACGGCGGCAGGGTGTGGCTGTGTGTGTGGCGCTGCGGGTGTCTGCCCGCCCTGACCGCAAAGAAAAAAAACAAGAGGGAAAGAAATGTGTGCTCCGCCCCACAGGCCCTCGTCGCACGCCCACACGTCACGGCTCCCTCAGCGCGCCGTTCGTCGCGGCCCCTCGTCATGCGTGCAGCAGGCGAGGCGCACAGGGCCGTCGTCATGAGCGTGTCGGTGGGTGTGCGAGTGGAGCAGTTGGGCGGGAAACACACGGCACCCCTCGCAGGAAGAGTGCAGCAAGAAACAATTGAAAAAAGGGAAGAGTAGAAAAGAAAAAGCATGGTGGTTGCGCCGAGACAACAAGCAAAAAATGGAAAATATAAAAAAAGAATTCTTTCTCTGCGTAGTAAAATTTATTCCTAGCGGTGTGTGTGTTGGTGCAGGAGTTGGGGGTGCGAGTATTCCACACTGAGGCCGCACACTCCTCACAAAGCCGCAAACACCCACAGTCCCAGCAGAAGAAGCAGCGGCAGCAGTCCGCTCCCAACAGGCGCATTGGCTCGCACACCCTCAATCCGAGGGATATGCCTCCTTTCCGTTCCACCCTCCACCTGTGATCCCGGGCCTCTCTTCGGAATGGGGATCCTGTCCTTGATTGCACGCATCTCAGTGGAATTCAGTGAGCGGTTGTACAGAAAGACGTTCGTAACCGTCACCTTAGTTTTCTGGCCGGCGGCCGTCGGACTTGACTCCTGAACGCACGCACCAAAGCAGAAGTGCACAAACTCAAGTGACTTCTCATCTGTTAGCAGCGCTTCTCCTTCCCCCAGCGACCGACCATCAATGTACACAGAGGCCTTTTTGCCTTGGAGCATGAGTGCCACCTGGTATTCTTTCTTCGGCTCCCAAGGCCTGCTTTCCGTTGTTGGTTTTTTATCGCCTTTGGAAATCGTCTCCCACTTGTTATCCGCGGTGTACGACAGTCCCATGGTATAATTGGACTCAGTATTCGCCAAAGTCGCAGTCAGTAGAGAAGTTTTCCCACTCGGAACATTTTGGATGATCACCGTCGCCACAACTGTGAAGTCGTGGCTCAAAAACACATGCCGCAAATTATTGTCCCGAGTGTTCACAGACCATAGTACCCCGGAGTTAGACTCCGTCAACTGAAACCCATCTTTGACCTTTACCGCATTCTTAACCGTTGCATTCAGGCAAAGGTACTCGTCGTTCCACCTCCCATCCCCGGCCGCATCGGACAAAACTGCCACCAGACCCGCCGTGGGTATAGACAAGCTGGAGAAGAAAATGTCCTTTTGCGCCCAAGTACTGAGGACGGACTCAATTTCCTTCAGTTCCTCCGTCAGGCGGGAGAGTGAAATGGCACTGCCTTCACCACTGCCCCTCCGTTGTAAAAGATGCAACTTGCCATCCGAGTACAGCAGTGCGCTCTCAAGCTCCTCCTTTTCAGCATTGTCCATGCCTACCGGTCCAACATGAAACGAGCGGTTGTTGTCCGTGACCCAAAGGTAGAGCGGATTGGCGTTTTCCCCCAAGGAGTTCCCTCTCTGAGTGTACAGCATGACCCTCCTTCCCTCAATGGTCGCGGTGATGAGGGCATCCACATGCAGGCTTGAATCCTGAGAGGCTCCCGATCCTGAGTTGACCCACACGCCCAAGAGTTTCCCGATGGCCTCCGTCCACGTTGTCCCCATGTCACGCGACACGTACACCTTCTGTTCATCCTCGCAGTCAACAATCATGAGAAGTGATCCCTCCCACTCGGTGATGCGGGGGTTAACGCATTTCGCAGAAGAAACACTGTTTGAGAGCGCCCAGGTACTGCCGTTGTCCTTCGAATAAATGATCATGGAGTAAACGTCTTCTTCTTCATTCCTCGCCATCAGAGAAAACACAATGGTGCCATCCTCCATCAGAACACCTGCGCCACCGGAAGCAACAAACGCCGTCAATTTTCTTTCTTGAACAGCTCCAGAGTTCTCGTTCAACGGTGATTGGACTTCGCCCCAATTGATCCGACCACTCTGCTCGCTGTCCGTAGGCTTCCTGACATCACCCACAACTAGTTTCAGTTTCAAGCCGCCATGACTCCAACTCCCATTTACATTGGACGCAACAGAGCTTCCCGCAAGAAGAAACACCTTATTGTCCTTCGTGGTGGTTGTGGGGCGGAGCACAACATCAAAACGCTCCTTTCCATCCACTTTACCAAGCACGGTGTGTGCTTGCCATGTACTTTTTTTGGCCTCACCAACAAGAGTGGACCATTCCCACGCAGAGTCAATGTACCAAGCAACTGCATCAGAAGAGGGCTCAGTTGATTTATTATCTTTATTTTTGGAGCTCAGGTGACCTTCGGCGAAGGCAGCAATTACGCCACCAGCACTGACAAGAGAGGGTGAAGCAAATGAATCCCACTTCTTTTCTGAATTACCTCCACCTCTCGGCAGCAACACCGTCTTCTGCGGCACAAATAGATCAAATCTCTGTGGCTGCCGCGCATTCACTGAATTCTCACCCGTCGATGCGGCCGCAGCTTCACAGGGGCCGCAGCACATCCACATCACGACGAGGAGGTGCAGCGCCGCGGAAGTAAACACATGCCGGGACATGTTAGGCCTCTGCGGCTCACTCTCTCTTCCTTCCCTCCTCCTTCCGCTGGATCCGGTCACGCGGCAACGGTTGTGTGTGCGGGGTGCCTTCACTGCAGCAACACGTGAGAGCATACAAATATGTGTGTGTGTGGGCAATGTGTGTGCTGTTGGTCCTTTCAGTGCCTTACAATTTCACAGTAGCGATTCGCACTTGTTTGCTTTCCTAGCGTGACTGTGTTCAATAAGTGGAGAGTACAGCAGCAACAGCGGAAATACACCAAAAAAGTCAGTGAGGAGCGGAGCAGAGCACCCACGCAGAGAGTGGGGCACGAGACAATCCGGAAGGGACGGCACGGAGGAACATCGCACACAGAAAAGAGCAGCAACACGGCAAGTCACGACGGGCCGTCGGTGTGTGCGGGCCAGCCCTCACGCGGTGCAACACGCCACACACTCAACAGGGAAGGACAGACAGACAAGCAGAGAGAGATGAATGGACGCCGTCAGGAGGCACTCACAATCAACATGGCCCGTGAGCATGCGGCCACTCCACGCAGGAACACAGGATGAGAAAATGACAGGGGAAAAGCAACAAGCAGCACAAACACACACGGAAGGAACAGACGACAAGCGGGAAAAGCACCGCCAAGGCCCTCATACTGGCCGGCAACTCCACACCAGCCCTCAGAGACACACAGACACCATCGCAGTGCTGTCAGTCCGCGGGTGAGAGGATTCGGCCCTCCACAAAAGGAAGGCAAACACTGCCAGCAGCCACACACGAATGGACAAGAAGAAGAAGTGACCCACCGCCACCGCCTCCAGTTCAACCCCACGGCAACGGAATACGGCCACAGCCCGCTGCCGGCACACAACGCACACGGAGCGAGCAATCACCCAAAGAGCCACACGCGGGAGCGGATCCTCATCCAGCCATGACGCGGCGCCTCACTCCATGCGGTCACACGGAGTGCACTGTTTCCTCAATAGAATATATTCTTCGTCCATCCCTTAAGGATGCTTCCGTTAGTTATGGGACTTAGAACACAGTAGAAGAAAATGGAACATGCTGTAATGATGCCATACCGCCAGCCACAATAATTCCCTCATACCGGGGCAATTCTCCAATTATGCCTCGTATACACACACACAACTAAAATACCATATAAAAACCACCCAATTTTTTTCACCAGAAGCCAAACAACCCCTTTCCCTCCCTAATTTTCTTTTGTCACTGTTATGCTCGATTGCGTTGGACTTTTTTGGCATTTGTGTACGGTGCTGCCGCATGGGGCTAGTGCACCTGCGCCGTATGCACACACACACATATCCAAAAATATATAAATCCCACAGTACTTTTTAACTAAAATCAAAACCGCCCCATTCCCCAATTTTTTTTCCTATTTCGGTGATTATTCCTCACTTCGGAGAGCTGCATCTCTTCTAAATTCTCTGGATGATATTGCTGCTATGTACTGGCGCACCTCTTCCTCCCAGAACGCCGCAATCTCCCGGTTTTCAGCGCGGCTCACATTATCGGAATTTACAACATCACATCTCTGCCAGTCATTCATCGGCGTGCTGTCTGCGTGCTGCACATAAATAAACTCCCACGACAGGTCTCGGTATAACTCCTCCTATCTATTAAAATATGCCGCCAGGCACTCCGTGAACTGCCTCGCAGTGCTGGTTATCGTGTGATGCGCACTCGCCGTAGTCATCAGCAGCCCGACCAGCGTCATTGGATTTAACTCCATGAAGAAGAAAAAGGCGTCCACCAGCGGAAAGCTTGCACCCGCCGGTATGCACAGCAGCCGATACTTCATATTATTATTTGTGTGGTATTCCATTGCAACCACTCCACATACAACTCGGCGGTGTCCTCCAAAGTTCGCCTTCAGCTCTGCGTACTGTCCTCCACGACGTGCTGGTGGCCCCAGCTCCTTGAGGTCCCCTACTAATGCACCGAAAAACTCCCCCAAACACGAATGCGCGCAAGTCAAACCCTCCCATACATTCAGACAAAAGAGTATTCCTCTTCCCCAATACTAGCAACAGATATATATATATATATCTTTCTCACTCATTTCTTCCCCCAAAATAGCATGGTATTCGACGCCCGAGGAAAAGCGATATCGGTGCGTTGAGAAATCCCTCAGCACCGACCTCTCCTCTTGCTCGGACAACCCTCACGAGCTTTTGAGACGGATTCTCAGAATACCATAGTCTCACTCCCCCATGTGTAAATTGCTTTTCACCATCCCGGGACTTGATCACATCCAAGGCATCCTCAATGGCAGCAGAGCATGAAATAAACTTATTCGCATCAAAGATGTAACGTGGAATCGGCCCCACTTTATCCATGCGTTCTTTGACCATCTTCCAGTATTCCGCTTTTTTCTCCGCAGTCCCATCGCGATTCATCCACGCACACATCGCCTTCACATCCATCTCGTCAGGGCAATTCATGATGATTCGCGCGGCTCTTACTTCCGTCTCCCATTTTTCATGGTTGCGCACGTTTGGCGATGACAACACAATCATGCCCCATTCATTAAAAGGCGAAAACCAACTCGCTGGCATCCCTTTCTCTCTCACATCGTAGATAACATACCCCTTCAACTCACAATCCCACAAATCATGCAAAACATTCCTGGATGTTTTACTACCCAGGTATCTTGTCACCGTCTGGATGGTCTTGTCAAACACGTACGTAGTACTTCCACCAAAACTGTACGCAACCACTTGGAGTTTCTCCACATCGTAGTGCAGCAGCTGGTAGAGGAGGTACAAGCCGGCATTCATCGACTTCCCAATCCCGGGCGTCCCAATCAACAGATGCTGCTTGGGCTTAAAGTCGGTCCCACCGTGAGTGCTCAACCATTCGGTGAGATCGCCCTTGACGATCTGCCACACTCGCTCCACCTCACAGTTCACATGGCAGTCACGAGCGGATTTATTCTCCCTCCTTCCATTTCCACGAGCACGGCCATCCCTTGTCCGAGATGAGCACCATCAGCCTGAGGCGCTCTGCACCAAATTGCTGCACACCGTCATTCTTTTCGAGAGTGTAGCCAACCGCCTTGTACGTCCATGACTGCGGTGGTTCACCCTCCTCCACCTTCATTCCCGTCCCTTTGCCTCCAGGGACTTCCACAACATGATGCCACCTCGCATTGTACACAGACTCGCAGTGTCCCTCCAGGTATATCGGTGCGCTCGACTTCTTTGGGTTCCTCGCTTCCTCGGCGGCTGCATCCAAAAACTGTTTAGTGGTACCATGAACGCTTGCCGTTACCTCTGCAGAAGCCACTAACCACTTCAGTAGATCGTACATGCAATTATCGTAAAGCTTGTGTACATCCTCTTCCATATCCATTTCATCCCGTACAGTCCTCTCCATCCTCTTGTAACGATCGGATGCCTGTATTTCGTTCAATACTCCTTTATCACGGATATACTTCTTGGGGTCCTTAAAAAACTCCTCCAGTAAGACATCCCGATTGGCGTCCAAAGCGCCCCTGCCGTCCAATTCCATCGTAAGAAAGTCATTCAGCTTCATTTCATCCACGCGAACCCTTCCTTTAAACACCGCATAATTAATCCCAGTGGAAACGTCAATTCCCAGTTCTTGTCGTTCTCGCCTTTCCCTTTCTTCTTCCTTCCGTCTCTCTTCTCTCAGTGCCTGAGAATAGGCTGTGTTTATTTGTGCCCTTGCAAGAGGAATGACCGTATCCTTTCTTTTAAAGTCCCTCCACTGCCTGAGAGTGATAATATATTCTCTGTTAAGGTTATGTAAGGCCTCCAATAGCATGTAAAACTCCTCACGCTCTTTTTTCAGCTCTTGGTATGGTGGCGATGCCTTTATTGTGCTCAATAACACTTCTTCTTGGATGAACTCACTGGGGCTACCCAAAACATCCTTCATATAGACGTTCCTATAGAATTCCTCAACGCCCCTGCCGCCAAAATAATTCCGAAGGAAATCATTCAGCGGCATTTCCATGATGCGTTCCTTTTCCTCCAGCAGCACTTTATCCAGCCAACTGTCAAGAGTCCACTTTGTTCGCTGCGTTTCCTCAACTCCTCTGCAAGTCGCAGCGGGTTGATCCGTCTCGTCATGGGACGACAGCCTTGCTCTCGTCTGACGATCTCCCTGCGGCAAAGTATATGCCTGACTCTCGGTATTATCGTCACCCTGCACTCTCTTGCGCTTTCCAGGCATTGTTTCTCCTTGTCTTCGTAGTTGGATTGAGTTAAAGCTGAACAGTAAACAAAAAATCAAGAAAAGGGAATAGAATAAAGAGAGAAAGAAAGGGAGAATACGCACAGACATGACTGACAGCCACAGCAAGAGAGTCATCCACACAGTGTGACAGCACAAGGTGAGTTCGGTTACGCAGCAGGAAGAAAAACACGTACATTTCAGCACAAAATAAGGGCACTGCAAACAACGCCAAAAAAGACACAGTGAACTGGCGACCGAACCGAAGCTCCTCCCACGCAGTCATCGTGGAACGAAAGAAAGTCACAAGCTCAGTTGCACAAATCGATAGAAACAACAAT